AAATCGCATCATATGACCCCTTTAAGACTGCTTTTGTGCTCCAGGATCACATATTTACAGATGCCTCCAACCAGGAATAATGGTTAAAGTAAATGTGCAGAGCGGCTAGATGCATCTGGGTCATGAGTACTTGCTATATCTTAAGAACAAATCAAGCTACAAAATTACGTTTTGAGTTAAGGTGCAGTTACGTCACAAAATATGCATGGGGAAAACTTGGATACCAATTGAAATGACTGGATTTCGCCAGCCATAATTTGCCGCACATTTACCCACAAACTTGTATGAACTAGCATGGCCTTTGTCAAAGTTTAACACTAGTATGAACTTCATGTCAGAATATTAAGTCAGAGCTTATGGTGCAGCCAGCAGTGATTTGTGGACAGAAATAGAGATCAAACCTCGAGCTCAAGTATGCGAAACTCCAGGAGTTCATTCTGATCTTTAGAGTCCTGTAGCTCCTGCTGCAGCTTTCCGTTTTCATTCTCCAGCTTTTCAACCTGCATCAGAAGAAATGACAGAGTTTATAAAAGACTTTCACTGTTGGTGCTTTTTTATCCTATGAACCTGCCTGCAATTAACAGCCATTACTCCACACGATCCTAACATGCTGATTTGCTGCTCAAGAAACATTTCTGATTATTATCAATGTTGATATTGTTGTCAATTTATATTGTTGTGGAAACTGTGATACAGTACATGTTTTCAGGATTCTTTGAGGAACAGAAAGTACAAAAGAACAGCATTTATTTTCTGAAACAGAAATCTTTTGTAACATTATTAAACTATTGATTGACAATGCATCACAGTTTCCACAAAAATATGAAGCAGCACAACTGTTTTCAACATTGATAATAATCAGAAACATTTCTTGAGAAAATCAGCACGTTAGACTGATTTCTGAAGATCATGTGACACTGAAGACTGCAGTAATGATGCTGAAAATACAGCTTTGATCACAGAAATAAATTATATTTTACTATATATTGACGTAGAAAACAGCTATTTTAAATTGTAAAAATATTTCACATTATTACTGTTTTTACTGTATTTTTAATCCAATAAATACAGCATCGGTGGGCAGAAGAGACTTGTACATAGAAAAAAAATTTGATACAATGTATTTATTTTAACATAAGTTATTACATGGTACCTACACTTACAGTACCTGCATGCACTGTAACTAAATTCATACTTACACCATTGATCCTAAATCTAAAATTGCCCCAGATGAGAAAAAGTAACGCAATGCAATGCATTACTTTCCATAAAAAGAAACTAAGTAACGTAATTAGTTACTTTTTTAGGGAGTAACGCAACATTGTAATGCATTACTTTCAAAAGTAACACTTTCAGTCACCTTCTCCAGCAGCTCCTGATTGCGTCTGAGGAACAGTTGCTTCTCTTCCACCCATCTGGAGTCCTGTGAGGAAGAGAGCAAACCATGTGCATCAGACATACCGGCTTTATAACCAGTGAAACCTGGTGAAATCTGTTTGTAAGCATGGAGAAACACTCAGCAAGATAAACACCACACTAGATATCGCATGCTGAGCGTGCTGTGGGTATACATTTGCATGCACTAATATCAAGAGTAGTAAAAGACATTTACCTGTCCTTTTAAAGAGACCTCCTTTTCCAGGTCTTCGATTTTAGCTTTATACCTTTGAGCGTCTGCCTGGAGCTGCTCATGAGCCTGCAAACATAACAAAACTATCAAACATAACAGTGTTTAACTTCACAAGCTTATGTTTGTGAACATTTTGAGAGCGAGATATATATGAAATGTTGGTCGCACTTTAGTTTGAGCTCCAATTCTGACTATTAACTCAGACTTTTGCCTTAATAAACTCCTAATTTGCTGTTTATTAATAGTTAGGAAGGTAGTTGTTAGTTTAGGTATGGGGTGGATTAAGGGATCTAAAATATAATCATGCAGAATAAGACATTAATGTGTGCTTTATAAGTAAACAGCTCTAAACAGCCAATATGCTAGTAATATGCACGCTAGTTAATTGTGAGAATTGTGTTTCTGAAATTGTTGGGTTTTGCCATTTAGTTTTCAAACAATCTGTATATATTCTGTATCTGTATATATATAATTATATTTTAATATGTTGATTGCACATGATTTAGAACTGTCTGACAAAAGGTTTTCAAATATTTATGATTTTGTAATTCTGACAAAACTGCTTCCCTGCTTATTTTTCTAAGGAATGATAATTAAAGATCATGCTAAACTACTTAATAAGGTTTTCTTTTCAAGAATGTCACTATTTAATGAGGATCAGTGTTATTTAAATTGTTTGTTAATATTTTGAATTAGTTTTTATTTGTATAATTTTTCACTTAAAATGACTTGAGTTTTAGTATTTTGTTGTGTGTTTTGTAATTTTTTTAGCTTTTTAAAAAAACCTCTATACAGTATTTATTATCGTCTATTTATTAATATTATTATTATTATTTGTTTTAGTACTTCAGCTTATGAGAGCTAAAATAAAATGTTTTTTTTTTTTTAGATTGATAATTAAAGATCATGCTAAGCTACTTAATAAGGTTTTCTTTTCAAGAATGTCACTATTTAATGAGGATCAGTGTTATTTAAATTGTTTGTTAATATTTTGAATTAGTTTTTATTTGTATAATTTTTCACTTAAAATGACTTTAGAGTTTTAGTATTTTGTTGTGTGTTTTGTCATTTTTTTAGCTTTTTAAAAAAACGTCTATACAGTATTTATTATCGTCTATTTATTAATATTATTATTATTATTTGTTTTAGTACTTCAGCTTATGAGAGCTAAAATAAAATGTTTTTTTTTTTTTAGATTTTATTTCTGGGGGGGTTTTTTTAGCTTTTAGTTTTTGTTTTAGTTAACAATAATAACCATGATGAGTTTTTTTTTTGTTTTGTTTTTTTTGACAGTTCGTTCATCAAGACAGTTGTACCACCCCAACATTTAAATATCTAAATAAAGTTTCATTCAGAGACCAAAAACATGGTAATCATATAAAAAGGTGCATTCATATTATATGCATGAATTGCATTTTTGAAAGAGTTAATAAACCTGGGCAAAAAAGAGAGTCTTGTACCTTATTTCTGTAATGTTAATGGATAACCAGTATTTGAGGAATACCTTAGCCTCCATTTCAGCGTCCAGCACACCTCCTTTCTGCTCCTGTAGGAGGGCATAGGCTCTCTGAAGAGCCTGATATTCCCGTGTCAACTGCTTAAAGCGCAACTCAGACTCTTCAGCCGCCAAACCCTATAAGAATAAAAAAGTGTATGAGAAATAATGAACACGAACTGCATAAAACACAGGGATCCTGACTGAGAAATGAAAGAAATCCAGTCAATCCTCCTAAATGCTCACCTCGTCTAAATCTTCGTCTGGTGTAGCCGGGGTTCGGTCCATGCGCAGGGAAGCCACCGAGGACGTTTCCGAATCCATAGACTCTTCATCATACCCATACAATGTGTCTACAACAATATGCCTCTGCGCGGGAGAATAACAAGAACAATTCTAGGTAAATGTGGACCTTTTTAATGAAATTTTGGGTCGCTGGTTGCACCAAAAGTTTAAAGACAGACTGCAATATTTTGAAAGCAGACAGGAGAAAGTGTTGTAACCGTAGCAACGTTTGCATCCACAATTTTTGGGGTATCAAACACTGAATGGAAGCACCAAGATGCACATTAAAAATCTTAAAATGTGTATAAAAAACCAGTTGGTAACAAAACATGCATAAACTACGATGGAAACACATTTACATAATAAATTATGCGCAACAAAAAACTGTGACTTTGCCTCGACAGATCAGGTGGTTGGATAACTGCACTAATTTGCAGACTGATCTCATTGCACAATGTCTAAAATATTATTTGAGTCATTATGAAACACCTGCGCCAAAAGTCAAAGTCAAATTTTTATTAACATTTTAAATTATACATTTCACATTTGCAGTTTGATTAATATGCAGTATGCTTTGCATAATTATAAAATGTATTTTAGAGTTAATTTTCATGCATATTTGTACATATAATGTCCTAGGGAAAGAAATGGCACCCATTCAGAGGAATGAGTCATTATTACCTCCCAGTTCCCAAACATCAGCCATCCGAAAAGCACACACTTTCAAAAACCCTCACCTTTATAGGTCTGCTTCGTTTATGCCTCTTCTTTCTCAAGAGTTTTTCTCTATCCTGTAACATGCATAAGAAAGATATGATAGATGGGTGTTTGGTGCTCACTGCTGTGACTCCTGGCTGATGTTTGTGAGAAGTACTCACTCGTGTCAGCTCATCGATCATGCTCTGCTGCTCGAGAACCTGCAGCTTGAGGAACTCAATCTCTTGATCGTCGTTGGCCTGATCCAGATCATTCAGAGACTTGAGTTTCTTCAGTGGAGGATGGGAGGTAATCTTCTCCTTCTGAATACAACAAAACAGTACGAATACAACAGCATTGAAAAAAAAAAAAAAAAACTGGTGTAGAAACAATTTTCACTCAGAAATTGCTAGTGAATTTCATAAATAATCACAAAGAAATGGCAAGTCACACATTGAATTAAACCTGAAAAACTGAAATAGTACTTCCTCTTCTAAAACGTACTACAGAAATCTTTTTAACTTTGAAAAACAAATTGAGGATCCATTTTATTTACAAGAAATGTTTCTATACTTTTTGTAGTGATCATGTTAGCAGTATATTTATCCAGTGCATGTTGTCACCCTTTTGTAAATTTAAAGGAATAGTTCACAAGAAAATATTTACTTCTCCTTAGATTATCCAAGATGCAGATGAGTTTGTTTATTCATCAGATTTGGAAAAATGTTGCATTGCATCGCTTGCTGACCAGTGGATCCTTTGCAGTGAATGGGTGCCGTCAGAATGAGAGCTGATAAAACATTACAACAAGTAATGTGGATTATTGTGATGTTTTTATCAGCTGTTTGGACTCTCATTCTGACGGCACCCATTCACTGCAGAGCATCCATTGCTGAACAAGTGATGCAATGCTACATTTCTCCAAATCTCTGATGAAGAAACAAACTCATCTACATCTTGGATGGCCTGAAGGGAGTAAATGTTCAGCTAATTGTCATTTTTGGGTGAACTATTCCTTTAAGAACCGATCCAGGAGCCTGAATCAGCACAGTAATGATATGAAACTGTACAGCTAATTTGCTAGTTTGTGGTACTTTCCTACCTAACGCTAAGAAGGAGTCTGCAAGATGGGGAATTGTGCCATGCACCCAATTAATTATCTGTGAATTTCTTACTCAGTACAGTGTTTCCTGTCCATCTGAGAGATTGTGAATTCACATTCAGATATATTTAGATTGTAACATTTAGTTGTATAGACATTTATCTCAAATAACCCCAGTGTTTAGTGCTAAATACACATGTAAAAATGCTTCAAAACAATGTCACTATGTGATCTTAAAACAAAATTGTCCGTTTAAATTGTCAGCATTAGAGCGACATGCGCTAACAGAGACTTGAAAGATCCCGTGCATTCAAAGTTCAGCTTTACGCTATCTGCTCAAATCATCACGTTTGTCGTGAGATTCAAATATACGTTTAGGAGCGACTCTGAGATGCCTTTCTGTGCTTTGTTAGCATTCGGTAACAAATGCATTCGATTTAATCACACATTAAACCTGCACTTTAAAATGCAGATTACATTTGGAGAGATATCAGAAAATAAAGAGGAACCCACCATCTCCAGGTTCTCCTTGGTAATGGATTTAAGTTTATCCTCCATCCTCTGAAGGGACTGGCTGAGTTCATCATTTTTCCTACTTAATAATTTGTTCTTGTCCAGTAAGGGCTTGCACTGTTTCTCTGCTTCTCGAGCACGCTTCAACTGAAAGGAGCAATTCAGGGTTAATTATTCATAGAAAAACAGAAATGTTTCCAAGACCAAACCAAGAAAGAAGATGCATGCTGAGGATTTTATAGTCCTGTAAAAAACAAAAATCCTTCCACAGTTGGCATTGCTTTTTATCCTTCACTGCGACACTGAGTATCCAGGAAGCGTCTATGCAAACAACATCAATGACATCGAAACATACCAGCTCGTTTCTTTCATCCACTAAGATTGAATTGCGGTCCTCCAGCTTACGAATGGTGGCTTTGAGTTCACTCATGCGTTTCTGGTTCCTTCTCATGTCCTAAAACACATAACACCAGATATATCTGTAGCACACACATGTACTGTACATTGCATAATAAAGGAAAATGTATGCACTAATATAAAATGCTTACGGGATTAACCCATATTTACACTGGGAATTTAGGCTTTTCTTAAATCTGGCAGAGTATCACGTAAATGCATTAGTGTTTGTGTGCATTACTGAGTGTGAAAGCACTTCGACTGGTTTATAACAATAACACTTAATCTTAACTTAAAATGATGAATTACAAGAACGGACATAACACCTTTCAATCTTTTACTCTTACACAGAAATGTGTTCTTTTAACAGCAATCATTTATGCTGATATCATTTTTGAGATGTCGACTATCTGTTTACTGCACTACAAGAACATGTGCATTTGTGGATTTAACACGTCTAGTTTCTTTACCGGACTCCCACAATGCTCTGCTCCATCTCCAGCGCGGCCGGGGATCTCTCTTTTGGGGCTTCCCAGGTTGCACTCTGCCTCCTTGACCAAAAAAAGCTGCTCATCAAGTGCATCCTTCTGTAGCTGCAGCTTCTGCACGAAGCCTGTCGCTGTTTCCAGCTCTTTCTCCAGCGAGAAGATCGTCCGGTCCTTCGCCTTGATCTCATCCACCTGCACAAAGTTCATACTGCATTCTGCAAATAGTGCCTAACCATAACTGTACTGCAGAAAATATTGTAATTTTAATAGTAAAAGAGTGTAAAACCCTACAGTAAAACCTGGCAATTAGTTAATGTACGTTTTCTTTATACGGTGATAATCTATAATAGATCTAATGGAAAAATTCATGTAATTTTACAGCAAAATACTGTTAGATGTAGTTTTTGCAAGTGAAAAAGAACGAGTTATCTTATTTTTTGCAATTTGACATTACCAGAATTCTCTGTGTGACAACTCACATTTGATGTTTTTTTTGTTTTGTTTTTTTGTGGATGCTCTGCAGTGAATGGGTGCCGTCAGAATGAGAGTCCAAACAGCTGATAAAAACATCACAATAATCCACAGCACTCCAGTCCATCAGTTAACATCTGGAGAAGCCAAAAACTGAAACAAATCCATCATGAAGACATTTCTAACTTCAAACTGTTGCTTCTGACAAAATATGAGTCAATATCCTCTATTCATAATATTGCTTTCTCAGTGAAGTGGTCTGATCTGAATCAGGAGAGAAATCTGCACATATCAAGCACTGTTTACAAGTCAAAACAGCTCGAAACAAACATGTGGAATTTTTTCACTGAAGGAAGCAATATTATGGACTCGTATTTTAACCAGAAGCAACCGTTTAAAGTTTAAAACGTCTTAATAAAGGATTTGTTTCTTTTGGCTTCTCAAACTGAGTTAACTGATGGACTGGAGTGCTGTGGATTACTGTGATGTTTTTATCAGCTGTATGGACTCTCATTCTGACGGCACCCATTCACTGAAGAGGATCCACTGGAAGCTCCAGTGAAGAAACAAACTCACCTACATCTCAGTACATTTTCAGCAAATAGTCATTTATGGATAAACTACTTTATGGTGGTTGTCAGTATATTATTATAAAGGTAAACATGTTAGTAATTTGGTATACAAAAATTTTTTCAGTTAGTAAAATAAATTTCACCAATTTTGTTTCCATTGTACATCATTATGTGGCCAATAAGCAGGGAGGTGTACTGTATATAATACCTATAATGCTTGTAAATATGTAAGTGTTGCTTGGCAACCACTTTGTTGCAACCACAACTGTTTCTGAGGAGCTACATTGTTTGGTGGAAGAATACTGTTTTTATTAATATCATTACACTTTATTTGCTCTGTTTTATTTTGTGAAACCGTTCTACGTATATGGAACAACCGTTTTATAAAAGCAATAAGCCCCGTGAAGCCATGGTTTACAGTGAATTTATAACAGCTAAGGGGGTTTTTAAGGGAGTTTTTGAAACTCCTGTAAATTCACTGTAAACCACGGCTTCTTGGGGATTATTGCTTTATTATAAAACAGAGAGTTCCGGTCCTTGATTCTGATTGGTTGAGCCGCGTTCGAAGCTGTTGTAAATTACTCTACAAACATACACCTTTGGTTACGTATAACAGCTAAGAGGCGTTGTGCCTAAAACCCCTTTAGCATGTTACAAATTCACTGTAAACCATTGCTTTATTATTTGACATTTCCACATTAAGAATAAAAACGCTGGCTTACCAATCGACGAATATCTCGCTCACTGTCCCACTTGATCTTGGAAATTTGCTCCTGGTGCGCTTGATGTTCAGTGCGCAGGTCACCAGCCTTCATCTTGTCGGCTAAGATCATAGTATTCAGCGCTTCATCTGTCTGCCGTTTGGAGGATTTTATCTCGGCTATGTCTTGCAGTAGCTTGACGCGCTCCTGGTCGAAGAAGCGGCGGGCTTCCTCTCGGGCCTCAAGCGTTAGCGCAGTGCGCACTTTCTCGCCGCTGCCATCGCGCAGCGCACTGAGCGCAGTCCGCAGACGCTTTCTTTAATCTTAGCGGTCCGCGCTACCTCCTGCTCGTGCTGCCGTGTTAGCGATTCCCGCAGAGCTGCGAGTTCCTTTAACTTCTCCTCGTGCCAGCGAGCCCGCTGCTCCGTCAGCGCCGCCGTATGTCGATGCTGCTCCTGTTCGCGAATGCGCTTGCCTTCCTGCACCTTTTCTCGCTCCAACTTGGTCACCTGCAGAAATAAGTTCATGAATGAGGCTTGTGGTAATATTGCATTTATCCAAATCTGTTCTAGGTGGACAAGAGTGGTTTAGCAGGGTTAACAATTCAGTTTGGCACTCCAGAAATCAGTACCTAAAATAGCTCAGCTCTTGAACCAGAGTTTAATCATGACAACTCTCGGAAGATTTTAGCATGGTGATGACAATGTTAATGCATTTGGTCTAGGCAGAATAGATCTGCTGCTGAATTGCTGCTGCTGTTGGTTATTGCTGTAGTTGTAGATCATTGCTGCTGCTGCAAGCAAGTACAGGAACTTGCTACTGCCAATGCATACGGCGATACGGTGCCGTGAGTATTTAAGACATACTGCTGCTGCACAAATAGCATATAAAATAACCCCGTAGCAGATCTATACAGGTGGAGCTGGGGAAGGTGGAGGGTTTCAGAGAACTCTAAAAGCGCGATGCAGGAATCTCTAGTGAATGCTAACCAGCCATATAAATGCAAGGCAGTAAGTTCATTGGCTGCATATCAGCTTGTGCCAAGTCGTTTAACTCTCTGAATATCATCAGTTACGTTAACACCCCGTCAGCCTGCGCCATTTGGAGTTTCATGACTAAACTATATATTTATCCAAACTTTTTATTTGAAGGGCCAAAAATTAAACTTGATGGAGGGCTGTGGTCCAAAAGTAAATGTTGCATTATATACAACAATAATATAACACCATTTATTAAATTGTCAAATGTTTTAAATAATTAAAATTTTATAAAAATTTTAAAGAGGTCTCTTCTGCTCATCCAGGCTGCATTTATTTGATCAAAAATACAGTATATTGTGAAATATTATTACAATTTGAAATTTAGTCAAAGCTGAATTTCCAGCATCATTACTCCAGGCTTCAGCGTCACATGATTCTTCAGAAATCATGTGACGATACTGATTTATTATCAATGTTGGAAACAGTTGTGCTACTTAATATTTTTTGGAACCTCTTTTTTCTCATTTATTCTAAATATAAATCTTTTCTTACAACATAAGCCTTTACTATCACTTTTTATCAATTTACAGTTACAAAACATTGTTCTTTTCAACTTTTCATTTATCAAAGAATCCTGAAAAAAGTATCACAGGTTACAAAAAAAATATTAAGCATGCACAGCTGTTTCCAACATTGATAATAAATCAGTATATTAGAATGATTTCTGAAGATCATGTGACACTGAAGACTGGAGTAATGATGCTGGAAATTCAGCTTTGATCACAGGAATAAATTATGTTTTAAAGTATATTAAAATAGAAAACCGTTATTTTAAATTGTAATAATATCACAGTTTTTTCTGGATTTTTGATCAAATGAGCACTTATGAAGGTTATGAAAGTTCATTGTAAAGGTGCTACAGTCAATTCAGGAGAGTTTGTTTCCTCCTTGCCTTTCAGAAACACCAAGTAAATCTGTACATGCTGTTTGCCTACCTTGCATTTTTCTTGATGCAGTTCAATTTGAATATCGGTTAATTTCGACCTGAGATCTTCATTGGCTGCCTGTAAGGCAGAGATGAGTGCTTCAGGCTTCTCGCCCTTGGCGCGGCCTTTCTTTGCCATTGGGTCAGATGTAAGGGTTCCTCAAACACTCTTAGTATCCATCACTTCAAGTAACACTGACGTTTCCAGCTCCGTCTTTTCCTCATTATCCTTGTAGTGAGAAAACCTGTGGGAGTAAACAGAAACCCACATTTCCATTACCATTTATAGAAGGGTAAAGACAAAATCACTACATATGTTTGGAAACTTAAATGGTCATGCTATGACTTCAGCCACTTCTATGTGTCTTTTTGTTAAAATCAGCAGATTTCACCTTTTCTTGTTATATGAAGGTAAGTCTTGGAATCTTGGAAGTCTTATAATTTATTTTGCAACTTTGCCTTTTAGTCCCAGACCCACAATGTCATAGGATATGAAAATCTATAATAAAATATGAATAACAATTCATTAGGATTAATAATAATATTAATTATTACATATAGGTGAATTCAGGTTGATTGGGACACATTTGCAAGTCATTTTTCAATGGCAAATATCGATCCTAATCTAACGACAGAGTGAAATTAACATAAAATGGTTCAGTGTGTATTGCCAGAATATGATTTACTGCATATATTGAAGAGCATGATTACATATGTGACCCTGCAGCACAAAAGCAGTGTTAAGTCACTGGGGTATATTTGTAGCAATAGCCAACAATACATTGTATGGGTCAAAATTATCCATTTTTCTTTTATGCCAAAAATCATTAGGATATTAAGTAAAGATCATGTTCCTTGAAGATATTTTGTAAATTAGCTACCGTAAATATATCAAAACTTAATTTGATTAGTAATATGCATTGCTAAGAACTTCATTTGGACAACTTTAAAGATGATTTTCTCAATATTTAGATTTTTTTGCACCCTCAGATTCCAAATTTTCAAATAGTTGTATCTCAGCCAAATATTGTCCTATCATAACAAGCTTATTTATTCAGCTTTCAGATGATGTATAAATCTCAATTTAAAAAAAAGACCCTTATGACTGGTTTTGTGGTCCAGGGTCACATATTTTATGTGAGCTCTGTTGCATTCAGTGCCTACAAAGCTATGGCTCTGAAAACAATAATAGTGTGTCATTTCAAAATCAGCTGTGATTATGTCAAATTATGCAAAACCGTGTCAGATATGTAGTGGAGTGCGTGTACATGTTCAGGACATTTAGGAGAACATTATTTGACATTTCAGTAACACTTTAGTTTAGGAACCCATTCTCTATTATAGATCAGTGATTAGCATGCATATTACTAGCACATTAACTGTTTATTAATACAAAGCACATATTAATGCATTAGGAGTCGCTCATACAGAGTGCGCTTGCCCCGCCTCCGGGCTCTTCTGATTGGTCCACTGTTTTTTTGGAACTGACATTGATGAGCGGCACTGCGTGTAAAAGTTGAAACTCTTTAACAGCAGTTAAAGGGATAGTTCACCCAAAAATGAAAATGTGATGTTTATCTGCTTACCCCCAGGGCATCCAAGATGTAGGTGACTTTGTTTCTTCTTCTTCTTGCTTTATGGCGGATTGCAGATTTATAAGTGCATTACCGCCACCTATCTCTCAAGTGGACCATTGACACTCTATCTACAATCTCAATTAGGAGTGTCAATGGTCCACTTGAGAGATAGGTGGCGTCAGGACAGTTCGAACAGTTCGGACATTGCGTGAATCAAAGGTAAAAAACAATATAAATACTGTTCAGTTTCTTGCACAGACCGATCGTTTTGTGTCTTTACACATCAATGTATCGTCACGAGCCGCAGGGTTTAATTTGGTTTTGTTTGTGTATGTTTTTTTTTATTCTCAAAGCCGTGATTCCCATTCACCTCCATTATATGACTGACAGACTGCAACGGTTTGTGTTAAAAATCTCCGTTTGTGTTCTACTGAAGAAACAAAGTCACCTACATCTTGGATGCCCTGGGGGTAAGCAGATAAACATCACATTTTCATTTTTGGGTGAACTATCCCTTTAAAAGTAGTGCATTGGAATGGAAACACGCTCATATTTTACATCTCTTAATCCTAAACTTACCTAAATTTAACAACTACTTACTAATTACTAATAAGCAGCAAATTAGGAGTTTATTGAGCCAAAAGTCATAGTTAATGGTTTGTTAATAGTGAGAATTGGACCTTCAAATAAAGTGTGGGCCAAAAGTGAACAGAATTCTCTTGTGGTACTGCATTGTTAGTAGCAATAAAAGAACAAGTGTCACCCCAGCACTCAGATACTAAATCTGGGCTGCTGACTGTACTAAACTACAGTGTTTAACCACGCTTCACAGCCATGCACACTGCAACCGTCAGACATATAAACTCAAGAAGACCTTCATTACATAAACAGCATTATGATGATTAAGAGATTGTGAATGATTATGATGATGATGAGGCATAATGGAGATTAAGAGATTGTGAATGAAGACTGAAGCTTGTCTCTCCAGATACAGCTGTCAGTACAACACAGTAGTCGCCTGAAACTACTAAAATAAGGCACAATTATCAGGGCAAAATAAGATGTGCTGCTGGTACAAGACAGCATGAAGCATCTGACATAGCAATGTCAAATTAATTACTTAAGTTCAATACTTTTTCCCTGTGTCGTTCCATTCTATTACACATAACTTAATTTATGAACTCATGTGTTTTGTTTTATTTGTATGTATGGATTACTTACCGAATTTTGGTGAAAATTTCATGTCAACAGCACCTTTAGAAATATATTTACTGGGAAAAATAGTGACGTGTTCAATACTTATTTTACCCGCTGTATATTCTGAGTAAAATAAAGAGCATTCATTTATTTTTAACATCTGATGATTATCACTGTTGAAGAATATCAGATTGGGTGACAGAATATAAACAGTGAGGATTTCTTCATAAACCTTATAGAGAGAGAGAGAGAGAGAGAGGATAGAAGTATTTTCCTTTATTCGAGATGATAGTGCATTATTATTATAAGCTGTGCATAATTTCTTACTGTAACATACTGTGATGTCATACATATTTGCTTACTACTACCTTGTTGGCAGAGGATGATAATCTTGGTTATGTAATTTGTGCCAGTTAATCTTTCTGTCCACCAGAGTCAACAGCATTAGATGTTGGGCAGATATTTTGATTAAACTGTGCATGCACAGAAGCTCAGTTCATCCCAACACTGTACCTCTAACAATATCTTTCTTCATATCCTCATCAAAATGAATAGACATCCACTCTGGATATCAGATTCAAATGTACTAGTGCTGGGCGGTATACCGGTTCATACCGAATACCGGTGTTTATTTTTGTTATGATATGAATCTTTAAAATACCGCAATACTTTCCTCTCAATCAGTAGAAAATATGGTTAACACCCGGTCATGCATGAAAAAAAATACCGTCATGTACCATGAAACCGGTATAATTTTGAAAAATACCGTGATATAAATTTTTGGTCATACCGCCCAGCACTAACATGCACCAATGCTTTTAGCACATTATGCTGATTTTAAGGATGCACAGAGGTTGTTGTGATCATTAATCATTGTACACATGCATGAAAGTCAATAATCTACTATTCAGAAAAGCAGTTCAGGACTGACACCAGCATCTCGATGCCATACTGTACCACACTATAAAACCACTATCACTAATACCATATTAACCCAGAAACGACTCGATCAAAGAGCACACACTGAAGGCACTGGGTGCCAAGTTTAAAAAATATATTTGTGTGGGGCACAATTAGCTGCTGCCATGGTCATCCGGTCTGATTTAGCCTTCTGCATCCATAAATCCCTCTGAATGTTTCCGCTGGAAGTGTTTCTGTGTGCTAAGTATAGGACATGCACGCTATCACACTGAATATTTCCAGTGGGAAACACCTTTGTTGTCAAAATTCAGCTAGAAGCTTTGCATTCATTTACTGCAAAACCCAATCTGCTAACACATCAACGGCACTAATTACCATAGATGCATACAATTACATTAGCTGCTGTATATATTTTGTGAATATTCACATTGCCAGTTCAGTTCCAAACCAAATCATACCGAAAAGATTTCTCCAAATGTGTGAAGATAGTAGCTCAAATTTACCAGTCAACCCCTTACGAAAATTAATTAAGGGACAAAAGTAAAAGTGTTGTAACCATGAATTTTGACGGATTGATTAACTGGATTTGATAACCACAGTTTTACTACAAATACCATGTTTAAACTATGGTTCGTGTAGCCAAATCATGGTTAATTTGTGGTTACCATGATTTAACTACAATAACCATGTGTGGATTTTTTGTTTATTTTTATTATATTATTTTATTTATTTTGTGGTAAAACCATGGTTAATTTTCAATAGGGCCAAACTTCCGATTCTTATTGTCGGGTCCGTGAGTCATATGGGTTTCTATATGGTGTTTTTGCCTTTGATTAACAATTTGCCATTTCTTTTTTTACTTTATATATTTATGCATATTTCATTAGCAAGACAGCTTCCTACTTTAGTTCAAATATGCATGTTAACACTCTCTTTTTTTAAAATATGTATCAAATATTTAAAACTGCAGCTTCCTTACAATTTGGGAATGTATCTTGCGTCTTCTCTTTTACATTTTTGTTGGCAACTGTGTTTATGCACTTAAATGAAATGGGTCCAATTTTTCAAATCAGCAACAAAATATCTTGACAGATTCACCTGAATAAGCTTTTAGTTTTTTTGTAAATTAATACATTTGCAATCAGAGCCGATATAAAGCTGATGCTGAAATGGTGGCTGCTGCATTGTGTTTTGTCGATTTAATTCGGCATTTTGTGAGCGCTTTGTTTGAAGACGCTACAAACAGTGTCGTGCACCTGTTATCGTGGGCACTTTAAAAGACCTGAATAATTCAAGATACCTTATTATCCCAATTGTTTCGATTTTTAGAACATATATTAGCTTATTTATATAATTATATTAGCAACCAGTTAAACTTGACAGCAAAAAAAAAACGCAGACTGGCTGAATGAAAATGCAAGTTTCATTGAAAAGCCCAGAATTACAGTTACCATGGTTACCGCTCTACACAAAGCAGCAACTTTCCCTGTCGACTTGCTTATCACAGAGAAGAAAGGAAGTCAAAACAGTATTTATTTACGTGTTTTCATTTACATGTTTGTTTGCACATATATATTTTTGCATTTTAATCTGGATTTAAACAAGGCAAGGCAGTCTACAAAAGAGATTATTATTATTATTATTGAACAATTAATATTATTAATAATAATTTAAATAATACTAAATTTTCACAATACATTGGCAGGTGTTTTTAATCTTAAATTTTGATATATTTCTTTGAAAGTAATGGTCAAACGTTTACAATTTAAAATGTTTGTGTATAACATGAAATATGGGCTTATCTTCATATTCATACCATGAAAGATAAATATGACAATTTTCTAAAATTTTACAATATGGCGTCAGTGTACATTGGAGGATGGGAGGTGGTGGTTAGGTGAAACTGTAGGTAGTGGGGGCCCCTTTTGAAAGTCTGCTAAGGGCCCCCAAAATGCTAGGATCGGCTCTGTTTGCAATTTCTCAAATAGTGCTTTGAAAATATCTCTACACTGAATTTCCGAGCTTGTTGCAAATTTTTAACATTGAATGCTATGTTCTGATTTGATTGTGAACAGAGGCAGCATATACAGTAGCTAAAGACTGGTGATACAATAGAAACAAGAATACTGTAGAGTTTGTAAAATCCCTGTAAATTACAAGCAAGCGTAGCAGCGATGCTTGCCTTAGCAAACGCCACTAATGCATGTTTGTGTGCCAAATCAATCGACTGAAATTTAGTAATGTGAGGTAAAAGTAGTGATCAATTGTGTACCACTTTATAGGCGAGAAAAATGCTTAGTGCTAACCTGGCTGCACTCTGAAACATGAAATGTTGCCCAAATGATATTATAAAGAAAGGCATCTAATTACTGGAAGAGCTGAAGTTTCTTGGAGGGACTGGGATGTTATAATGGGTCTCTTCTAGCTGCTCTGACCCGTTTACTGCTATAGCACAAACACACTGGCATCATGACCCACTTTTACAGCCACTGACACCAAACTCCAGACACCACAAACACAACAACACAGAGTTCACTAGCCATGCCCCTTCAACAGAAGAAATCTTAACATTTCTGTTTCCAGGAAGTTGGAAATGGAGGCTAGTGTAATAACAACGCAAAATCCAGTTCAGTTTCAAAGGGTTTCTCTTCAGCCCCACAACTAACAGTCATGTGATTCTGTTCAGTTTGAAATGCAAACACTAGTGCACACTGATCAATAGCCTACCATATCAATTCACATTGAAAAAGAAAATATAAAACTGATTCGAAAAGCTTGTTGTGCTCTATCACCGCTCAAGATATTTCCATTCAATTTCATGGAGATTACATGCATAAAATTACAGTTTCTCCACTTAGTAGTAGACCTGTATGTCATTTCCTTTTTGTAAAATAGATTTGGGATATTTTGGGATAATGCCTCTATTTGGCAGGGGAAAATAATCTCGGTTATGTGCCAACAACAAAAAAATCTACTAATCTAAAATCAAAAAAACACTCTAAACTTTGGATGGTTATTCTTTTAGACTTTAAATTAAAAAGATGTATTCAATAATAATAATAATATGTATAACTAATAGTTAATTATTTCAATGCTACTATTTTGCAGTATAGAAGCCAAAACTGTAATAAATAAAATGCAGAACACATTGGCTATTGATATAATGAATATATGAAGACATAATGTATAGAGTAAAAGTTATGCAATTGCAGATTTTTAAGAACAATAACCATTATATATATATATATATATATATAAAATCACATAATGAGCCACTGTACTGCTTTTCACTTATATTTTGTTATTACATATATTATATATATATTACATATTTTCCGAAGGATTCCCTGCATCCTATGAATACTCATATTTGGGTCCCTCGTTAAAAATGCTTAGGGATTGCCATTGCATTTTTCATAATTTCCATCATTTGGAACCAATCCTAAATGTTCTCTAATGGAAATTGCCTTTTTTTTTTTATTCTATCTCCAAATAAAAAGTAGACCTTTAAGAACACACACTTCTCAATAGGATTTTCCTGATTCCCAAAAGAACAAAATACCCATTTAGGACATCAAATGGAATTTAAAGAAAATCTTCTACATCCTCCCAAAGAGATTCTCTTGAACTGTCCAGAAGTAAGACACACATGTAGAGTTCTGATGTAATTATGCAATGATGAACAGGACTCCATCCTATTTGATTCTTATAAGTACAGTTCCTCAATTATAATTGATGGGAATTCCAATGGGAATCCTGTACGCAATCCTGCAGGATTTATAAGTAGGAATGAGTAGCAATATAATAAGACAAAGCTCCTTTCTCAAAGGATTGTTAAACATTTCAAATATTAACACGCTATTTTCCTTGTCTTTTCTGTAGCATACAGTCAAAGGATATAGATGTGAGATTTGTAGCAGAGGTCATGTGACAGACTGCCTGAAGCCTTCGACAGATGATTGTTCTGTGATGAGAACTGGATGCTATTATGAGTATGAGTAGTATCATGTATGAGAGAGAATAATCTGTAATGCACCGCATCAGTGTCTCCTCGAGGCCTGCAGCTGAATCTCACGCGTCATGACGAGCAGGCCGAGCTCGCCCGTTCCCATTGAAACATCCATACAAAAACAACATATCACACCTGAACCGAGCGCTGCATGCTTTCTAGGCGTGCCCTAATTTCATTTCTATAAGCCTTTCTGTGTAATACTGCCAGTCTGTCCGGTGGCTCTCTGGAGCGCATCTCAGCGACAGCGCGCGCGTACAGTTAAAACAGGAGCGACTCAAAGACGCTTTTCTTACCTAAAAAACAATCCGCCACGATGTGTCACGGTCCCCAAACCTCAAATCCGCAATCATGGTCCTACATATTTCTCAGCGCGACCTCTCAGCATCAGCAGCCGTACAATAAAACGACAAGCTCCGATGATGCTGCGTAACCACGCCCTCCTCCCGCAGTCAGAATGATGCTGCGTAGCCCCGCCCTCCTCCCGCTGTCAGAATGATGCTGCGTAGCCCCGCCCCCTCCCGCTGTTAGAATGATGCTGCGTAGCCCCGCCCCCTCCCACTGTCAGAATGACCTCATCGCATTCAGTTCACTCACTGCAGTCCTCCTACAGAGATAGATAGATAGATAGATAGATAGACAGATAGATAGACATGTAAATATTTTCAAAATATATACTGTATGTGTGTGTATTTATACATACATAATAAATATACACAGTCCACAAACATATATTATATGTAAACAAAAACTTTTATTTTGGATGTGATTAATCGCGATTAATCATTTGACAGCACTAAAAATACTGATATAAGTACTGATAAAATACTAAAAGAATGAATTCTCATTACGCACAATATATAGATATTTTATGATTCTGAGATGAACTGTGACCTGGTTATGTTGTCTTGATTTTCACTGAACACTTACCCCATTTACTGCCTACAAACACAGGGCATGCTGCATGTAAAGTTCTGGCATCTTCATTTCCATTTCTCAGCAGGTTAAACCACGACAGCGCTGTACTGTACCCTTATGGAACAGATGTGAGCACAGGTTACTGTAAGTCACTGTGTGTGGAAATAAAGCTGCTTCAACTAACTGCTCCAGCGTCAGGGAACACTGTTGCCCCACCGATGTCCACATCACTCATCTACAACAAAACCATTGAGTGGCAATGATCTGAAAGTGGGAATTATTTAAAATGCATGAAATCATTTGTTAGATTATACTTGCACACATAGATTAGAACAGTAACAATCCGGCCTCCTCTGAGCTGAAAGTCTGAGTCATTTGTCAACTGTGAAGAGATTTTGTTATGAAATAAAACAAAGTGCATGCTCTATTACATGCACATGTTCAAACAGGACCAGGGGAATAACAATAACACATATTTAAAAAGGTTAACACCTTCATGCAGCACCTTTGAGTCATAATGCGGCTCATACTGGCCTCCAATTCCATAGTTTGCACTATGGAAATTTTTGCAAACACAAGGACAAGTTTAAAGAAGATAAATAATTTCATCCACTAGCACTGGTTTGCGAGGTCATCTGAGAATCACATGCATTTCTAAAGGGATACTCTACCCAAAAATGAAACAAAAGCCGCTCATGTGGTTCCAAACCTTATGCAATTCTGCAGAACACAAACTAAGATGCTTTGAAGAACGCTGGAAACCAAACAACACTGAAGCTCTTTCACTTCCATGGCATCCCAAACAGAAAAAAAATGGCTGGCCAAAATGTAAGTGTTATAAACTGTGAAGCTCAATTAAATACATTTTTGAAATTGAAAATATATTTAGTTTCAACCTTCATTCAGTTGCCTATGATTTAATAATGTTTCCGTTTTTATATTGTAGTATTGTATAGATTTAGACAGATTTGTGAACAATATTTGAGAGAAATAGGCCTTTTGTGTACATAGAAAAAGTCTTAGATCTTTGAGTTCAGCACATGAAAAATGGGAGTGTTACGTTTATAATTTTGTTCAGTGTATATATATATATATATAATTTTTTTTTTTTTTTACACATATATATTTTTGTCCATTTGTTGTATGTTTTAAAATATATTTAAATACACATTTTTTGCCGTATGGTATTGACCAAAACAAAAAAATCTAAATTTTTGTTTTGAGATTCGCGTGAGATTTGTTCGCGTGAGATTCTGTCCTTTGTTTCACAAAGGACAGAAATCAAATCATTTGGAAAGATAGGAGTGCGAGTAGATTTTGTACACTTTTGACACACGAGAGGCAGCAGAAACTTTTTTTCCAGAGACTGGATCTATGACTTTAGCTCTGGAAAGCTAAAAAATAAACAGAGATGTTTTGTGATAGATGGATATTATTAATTACTAATAATACTTTGATATAAATGGTTCAACTAATTATCAATAATATCAGTTATCAATTAAAAATGTGTTTAATTCCCTTTCCTACATACACACACACACACACTGAATGTTTCAGGGGGAAAAATCATCCTCAAATATTGATTATCATCTATATGTGCTACTTCATCAAACATAAATGACATAAACCGTAATGCAGCATTCACATATTCTTCAACACTTCAAGAGAACACACTGGATTATACATAATTATATCAATTGTCCTATATTTTCTTGTTTGGTGTAAAACCTAAAACATATTTGTTTATTAAACCTTTTGCTCAATATATGGTTGTGTATATTAGCTCAGATTAGTCTAACTAGCAGTTCCAATCAGCTGACTGCATTAACTTATTAGACTGAGAAAGTGCTTTCCTGATTTTCTGTGTAATATGCATATGTTTGAGTGATTTGCTTACAAGGCAATGAAATCAGGCTTTCTTGTTTGCTGCCCCTAAATTGTGGGACGGATTACCAAAGTTTATCAGATCCTTTGTAAACATGTTAAAATCATGTATTTGTTTGATGAGGCCTTCACTATTTTTAATGACCGTTAAGGTTTTAAGCAGATGTATTCATGGTGTGCATTATTGTATTGTACTGTGTTCTATTTTTTATTTATTTGATTTGATTTGATTTGATCATACAGCACTTTGGTGCACTCTATGGTTTTAAAGTGCTTTATAACTGCATTTTCATTTGATTTAATTCATTTTACATACAAAACTGGAAAGAACTTTCTCAATCTAGCAAGTCTGGTTAGCTGACTTTAAGTAAATTTCATATTACACTCTAAGAAAAGTCCATAAAAATATGGTCCAATGTATGGTGTTAATATAAGCACTGTAAAAAAAAAAAAAAAAAAAAGGACATTATGACATTAGCCATTCATTTTATGGACATTTCCTTTAACCCTAAAACATAATACAAAGAAGTGCAAAATTCAAAATTCAAATTCAAATTTAAAATCAAAATTAAAAAAACAACAAACGCTTTTTTTGCACTTCATTGCATTGCATTTTTAGGGTAAATGGAAACGTCTGTAAACTTTTCCGCCAGAATTTTTTTACAGTGTACTTTTACTACTGCTACATTACATGGTACAGTGCTGCACAAAAGTCATTTCTGAGTTTTGTAATCTGAATATATCTTTATAGCAAATACACAGCACTTTATTTTAAGATTACGTATTATAGTAATTACAATAACTGGATAATAACTAGGTACCTACCCTGAACCTACAACCTTAACCCATATTACCCAGTACTTTCTTAGGTAACTACACTGTGAGTGCACACAAAAAAATACAGCCAAAACACCATTGCTTTTTTTGTTACTTTGTAGGTTCAGCTTAGATCTGATGACATTCAGTGTAAAAATATGCGTAAAAATATGATACTTTAAATATACTTTTTTCACAGCACTGTATGTATACATTTCTGTTTCATTCCCCAAAATGTAGTATACAACTAATACACTATACTGAATCCAATCAAACTGACCGTAATATCATCTCGTACAACATGTTACCACTTTTTTATATATACAAAATTTGCTCAATAATGCAAAACAACCATTTCCAAAAGCTGATAATTGTGACGAACATAGTGAGGTCATGTGAAAAAGCCTGGCATGCTAGTGTTAAAATTGCATGATAGTGTGTGAAACATTCAGTACAGCGTCACTGTTTTTAAATAGCGGGCAGTATACAGTAAATAATAAGATAAACTCTGCTTTCAAGCTCTCCTGCTAGTAGCCATGTTTACTATAATATTAAAATATAATTTATTTATCAGATTAAAATATAATTTATATACTATCACAATGTGATATACTAAAAAAAATGGTCATTTTTGTCACATTGTTATGAGTAACACAATGTTCTGTTCTCTCTGTGCTCAGGATAGACAATAATGCTAAAACTACACCTTGGTATTACAGATTATTTTATTTCTTTCCACCAGATGGCACTAATCTGCCTCCATAAGCGAATGTTAAATAGTTTTTTTCACACACACACACACACACACACACACACGTTTGTTTCTGTGAATTGTGGGGACTTTCCAAAGACTTCTGTTACTTTTATACTGACCAACAATATTTTATATCCCCTAAACCTACCCCTTACAGAAAACCTGTTTGCATTCTTACACTTTCAGATAAACATCATTTACTATTTTTAGTACAATACAATGTCAAAAATTTCAGGTTTTACTATCCTTGTGGGGACATTTGATCCACAATGTAGCATAAACAAGAACACACACACACACACACATATACATTATATACATATATATATATATATATAAAGAAATAAATGGTAAATAGTCTAGAGGTAAATATACTTTAGTACCATGAAATTCCTTCAAAAATACAAAATATTTTTTTTTAAAAATACTGTTGAATTAATATATAGTATCACAAGTATGACTGGAACTCATTAATGAACAGCATGAAGAGCAATGAAGAGTTAACTAAATGAACCAAATTTTATTAAGGAAATATTAGGTAATATAACCATATAACCTAAATTTCCATGCTTTCATTTATAAAATGGTCTATGCATTCTATAAATGTTAAACTCGTCTCATTCTCTCTTGTCGTCATTTTACACTTTCTTTTATCATTTAAACTATTTGTTTGTAATCCTAAAAAGGTTTCTTGTGGGTATTTTAATATTCTGACTTCTGAAAAGTAATTTTCCGTTTTACAGTGGGGGGAAAAAATATTTGATCCCCTGCTGATTTTGTATGTCTGCCCACTGACAAAGAAATGATCAGTCTATAATTTTAATGGTAGGTTTATTTGAACAATGAGAGACAGAATAACAACAAAAAAATCCAGAAAAACGCATTTCAAAAAAGTTATAAATCGATTTGCATTTTAATGAGTGAAATAAGTATTTGACCCCTTCGCAAAACATGACTTAGTACTTGGTGCAGACACCCTTGTTGGCAATCACAGAGGTAAGACGTTTCTTGTAGTTGGTCACCAGGTTTGCACACATCTCAGGAGGGATTTTGTCCCACTCCTCTTTGCAGATCCTCTCCAAGTCATTAAGGTTTCGAAGCTGACGTTTGGTGAACCTTCAGCTCCCTCCACAGATTTTCTATGGCTAGGCCACTCCAGGACCTTAATGTGCTTGTTCTTGAGCCACTCCTTTGTTGCCTTGGCCGTGTGTTTTGGGTCATTGTCATGCTGGAATACCCATCCACGACTCATTTTCAATGCCCTGGCTGGCTTCAATGCCCTGGCGGTACATGGCCCCGTCCATCGTCCCTTTGATGTGGTGCAGTTGTCCTGTCCCCTTAGCAGAAAAACACCCCAAAGCATAATGTTTCCACCTCCATGTTTGACGGTGGGGATGGTGTTCTTGGGGTCATAGGCAGCATTACTCCTCCTCCAAACACGGCGAGTTGAGTTGATGCCAAAGAGCTCGATTTTGGTCTCATCTGACGACAACACTTTCACCCCCGTGATCATTGAAACTCCACGAGGTGAAATCTTGCATGGAGCCCCAGACCGACGGAGATTGACAGTTATTTTGTGTTTCTTCCATTTGCGAATAATCACACCAACTGTAGTCACCTTCTCACCAAGCTGCTTGGCGATGGTCTTGTAGCCCATTCCAGCCATGTGGAGGTCTACAATCTTGTCCCTGACATCCTTCGACAGCTCTTTGGTCTGGCCATGGTGGAGCTCTATTCCAGCCAGGATTGAATGAATCCTTCCTTTCATAGAAAGAAGTGCGTCTCACCTCTGCCTCCATGTGGCCACATGTTTACATCTCAAGTTTCTAACAAACTTTAGAAGCTCAGCACCCGCCTACTTCCACTCACTACTACGAATCTATGTCCCCTCCAGAAGTCTGAGATCCGCTAGTGAGCGACACCTCGTGGTACCATCACAAAAAGGCTCAAAATCACTTTCCAGAACATTTTCGTTCACCGTTCCTGGCTGGTGGAATGATCTTCCCACCCCTATCCAGAATGCTCAATCCCTGACAATTTTCAAGCGACAGCTGAAAACTCATCTCTTTCGACGCTATTTGACTTCATCATAAAAAAAAAAAATTACATTTACATTTAGTCATTTAGCAGATGCTTTTATCCAAAGCGACTTACAAATGAGGACAATGGAAGCAATCAAAACCAACAAAAGAGCAATGATATGCAAGTGCTATAAGATTAGATTTGTTATAAACATCCTGCTGTTTTATCATCTTATTGCTATACAATACACTGACCTGTAGAAGAGTATAACTCATTTACAGCAACACAGAAACTCCAGCATGTTGATAACAATAAAATCATCCACTTTGTCTCCATTTCGAAGCGTTAGATGAGCTGAACGTTCAGTCTTCTGTTCAGGGCAAAACTGAACTCTGTGTGCTAGTGGTGCGAGTATGGTGAGTTAAGTCAGACCTTCAAGAAAACAGATTACAGCTAATTGTTTTATTGTCTGACTGAATCATCTCCTATGATTAGACAAGCTTACAACGACGACAGAATATAAATCCAGGTAATTACACCAGGTGGCAACCCCAGACATTGAGGTCTTCCCTTTGAAAAGAGAACTGTGGTTGCATCACGTTTACAGCAAAAAAATTACATTGCCAAACCTGATTGGGAAAGAGGTAATTACAGAGATTGTTTGTGCTTGTGGTTTCACATTTTCATAATCTTATGGTTATTTCTGGTTATCTATATATATACACACACCTTATACACGAAAGAGAACCTTCAAATTCTAGTTTTTGCATAAAAAGTGTTAATATATTAACAATTAATTAAAAACAAAAATGAAGACATAACCATGTGCTCAAACTCGGTTTAAATCAACTTTTAAGTAGACATTAATTTGTTATTCTGTATATTTTCTGTTGCAAAACATACAGAACAAAACTTTTTAATTACTGTAGACTAATAATAATAATAATAATGTTTATTTATATAGCGGCTTTCCAACACCCAAGGTCGCTTTACAAGTCAGGTTTCAGCAACAGAAACAAATAAACATCAACATTAAAGGACAGAACACATACCAAAGGCTGAAACTAATATACAGAGGTCACTTACAAAGTTATATTAGAGATACAGAGAGAATTTAGATAAACATGTCCATAACAGGGTACAATTTACAGACTGAGAACTGAAGAGTAATATTCAGAGAAAAAATGTGTTTTTAAGAGGTTTTTGAAGGGAGGATGCTTGACGGATGTCTTGGGGAAGAGCATATCACAACCTGGGAGCCACAACACTGAAAGACCTGGCTCCCTAGTCACCAGGCTATAGGCCTTTAAAATGGCTGTTACAATATCCTGAAATAAATGTATAAATAAAAAGCAAAACTGCTTTGTAGGAGTAATATGCAAATAATATTTGGCCCAAAATAATAATTCTGTCCCTCACGTCTCTGTAAACCCCATTCTTCATTCTAGAAACACAAGGATGATGCAGCTGTAAGTTCCAAATTGCACATAAAGGCCAATTCACACCACACAAAGAAATGCCAAACAAACACCAACAAACAAGTTGGCCGCTGGATTTAGAATTTTATGAAAAATAACATGTTCAGTCGGGTGAAAACAAACTCCGACCAACGGCAATAGACGCCAACAGGGGTAACACACTGATCCAGCAAAAATGTTTGTTGGTGTTTGTCTGTGCAGTCTGAATTATCCTTAAAAGTACCATGAAATTCCCTAAACACTTGTGCGCTATTCCAAGTCTTCTGAATTTATTCATTTGATTAATGTGAAAATCAAAATCATGTCCTCCCCTATTTGAATCTGGCACGCACGCGAGAACTTGCGCTTGAGCGCCATTTATAGAAGACAGAACTGCACATAAACCTCATTGGTTCTCACATCTGTAGTTAATATTGGATATTTGAATGTTTAAAAAGTGATCAAGATTTGGGTTGAAGCTAAACTCTGTAAGGCCTCTGTATGGCCCTCCAGGAACTGAGTTTTCACCCAGCACTAGATAAAACTACGTATATAAAAATAAAGTCAATCAATAAGGAAAAATTATTTTAATTTTCATTATATAAAAAAGTAATGAGAAAAACACATAACATAGCTGAGTCACTGAGGCCTTTAGCCCCATTAATGTTATTTTGGATACAAATTACTGCCAACATGAAAACAATCAAAAGTATTTGTATTCTGCCAGATACAGAATTCAATACAAGGTTATGCACTTACAAGGCTAAAGAAAGGCTAATAGTTATTCATTAATTACAGTAAAAGGGTTACACTGCCGGTATTTGGTTTAAAGAAACAACAGAAATCAATCAATATATTAAAAAATGTATATGCTGAATAAAGTTTTATGGATTAAGTTGTTGGCTGTATTAAAAAGATCACCAACTTATTTAACATTATTGCAAAACTGTGACATGGTGGTTAGGATAATATGTGTTCATATGCTCAAAAGATTTTCATGGATCAAGCTGTCAAATAGGCTACATTATGTATAATGTAAGATAACATCCTCTGATCTCTCAAATAAAATCACTAAGTGCTTCCTGAGCAGCGGTCAAACGGCCCAAACGAGACTGCAAGTATTTGCGTCTTTTGCTGACATCAGAGTCCTCAAACAAGAGCTCGCTCACGTTTGCCCCTTCCAGTATACTCAGCATGTCAGTACACAGGAGCTGAGCAGTCTCCTTTAGCATGTAGAAGGAGATCAGCATGGGCAGTTGGTCAGCCATCCTCTGCACCACAATCTGAAAGAAAACGAAGAGCCACTAAGATACTTCTCTCTGAACAAGGCTTCAAATTCATTAATGAAGACTAGATGTACCTCATAATACGCCTGCAGCATTTCACTGTACTTGCTTTTTATATCAAAGGCAGGTAATTGCGCTTCTGAAAATTTATCGCTGCTAATCTCATTCAAGAACTTCAAGTAGATGGGATCTTGAGTGTAGATCATGCTTTCCATTTCAAACTGATCCATGATCCGCTGCTCTGTTTTGGCTTGCTGGCTTGACTGAATATTGTCGATTTTGTTCTATGATGTCAAGTGAAGAAGTACAGAGGAACAAGAAGTCAACTGACAGAATTTTTGTACAATTGTTAAAATTCCATTTCGAATGTTGTGTCAAGGGATGCTATGGGGAAACTCCTGTTTACTCTGAATTCTAAAGCCTGATTTGTTCACGCTTGTGTAGCAGCCCGCCAAAAGGGGTGGGGTGGGGCCAACTGCTATATAAATTAGCTGAGTGCCATTTCATCAGAATTTTCTCCTTCAGCGCGAAGATCATCTCCTCGCTGGACTCTGAAGAGAAGCAGCAAGAAGCTTGAAGCCTACTCGCCTCTTCCCCTGCAGCCATCCGGTGACCTAAAAGAGTATTTCCTGAGCAAATTTTCACTGCAACACTGTTTCAAATGTTGCGCGGCGAGTGAGGCTCGTACAGGGAACCCCTGCATGACTCAGACAGGCACGGCGAGTACCTAAACGCTGATGCTGTGCTCACCGGGACAGACTGCTCTCACTGCGAGAGCATGAGTCTCACCCTGTTTCACTTGTGGATCGGCTTCTTTCATGAAGGCAATCCTCAATCGTTCGCACTTCCATTTCAGCGGGGCAATGGGACTGACTTGTCGGGCACGAGTGAACTTATGCCGGCACAAGTCCTGCATGCTTCACTCTCCCCGCAATGCCTCGACTCACCAGTGTATTTTACACATAAGGATCAGTGCCCCTCATCTGCAGTGAGCAGCTAGAATTACTTCAGTGGATCTGAGTAGGAAGCTGTTGCTTCATGTCGCTGACAACTTCAGATGCAGAGGAGTGGGTGTGTGCTGGCGAGGACCCCGGCATCTTTCCTCCCAAGGATTCAGTGCGGGCCAGCGTGGACAGCAAGCTGATTCGTATCCTCTTGAAATCCATGGAGGATCTTGGCTTGGACTGGTCGGCTCCTGAAGAGTCCAGCCTAGAGCAATGCCTACACATCAACTGCCTAGAGATGTTGGCGGTTTTTCTAGCCCTGAAAACCTTCCTACCAGCCTTAAGAGGGTACCACGTCCTGGTCCATTCGGACAACATGATGGTGGTAGCCTATATAAATCACCAAGGCAGTGTGAGGTCACACTGCCTTTACAGGATGGCCAAACGCCTCCTCTTATAGGCACAGTGCAATCTACTCTCACTGAGTGTAGTTCACATGCAGGGCAGACTGAACCAAGGAGCGGACAAGCTGGAGGAACTCATTCCCTGGGTTGATCCAGCTGCTATCGGCAGCCCCTTGGCCAATTCCACTGAGGAAGGACCTCCTCTCTTCATGTTTGGCACCTCAATAGGAATCTTTAAAGCTCCCAATGAGGGTGACTAACACCAATTTGGAGGCTAGAGCCCCATCTACAAGATGCCTCTACACCCTTAAATGGTCAGTCTTTTCTGACTGGTGTGCAACACGGAGTAGGGACCCATCCTCTTTTGACGTGTCATCCATGTTAACCCTTCTGCAAGTGCCGCCTGACAAGGGTCGCTTTACTTCCACACATTTAAAGTTTATGTGGCAGTCTTTGCAACGAAAAATGACCTTTTTGTTAAGTTCCTGAGGGGAGCTCGGAGATTGAATCCACCTAGTCCTCATACTGTGTCAACAGGGGACTTAACCACAGTCCTTAGGGCCCTATGAGGCCCTCCCCCTTCTAGCAGTATCAGTCAGCCGACTTACGGTTCCTGTCGCTTAAGAGCATAAGTCATCTCCCTTCTGGCTCTTCCCAACTCAGAGGACGAGCAGGGTCCGAATTTACTCTGCCAGGTTCGGGCTCCTAGAGTGTATGTACAGCACTCTATCCACTTCCAGCATTCGGAGCAGCTCTTTGTTTGCTTCGGAGGTCACTCTAAAGGGCTGCCAGTCATGAAGCAGAGACTACCTCACTGGATAGTTTATGCTATAGCCCTGGCTTACGCCTCAGTGGGCTCACAGTGTCCTATTTGAGTGAGAGCCCATTCCACCAGGTGAATGGCCTCCTCCTGGGCTTGATCCAGCGGAAATTCTATCAGTGATATCTGTGCGGCTGCTGGCTGGTCTTCGCTGTTCACCAGGTTTAATAACTTGGATGTCCCTGCCCTCCAGGCACAGATTTTGTCTGCTTAATTTAATCCCCTCTGTAAGTAGAGAAGGTCTTGATATGTGGGCCCCAGCCCAGCGGCTGGAGTCGCAGAGTGGCTTCGTTCTGCCTTTGCTTATAGCACGGCACTACTGGATCCATTCCTCATAGCGTCCCTTGACGCAATGGGAGAGACTGTTCTAAAGGGAACACTCTGGTTACTAACGTAACCTTGGTTCCCTGAGATAAAGGAAGGAGCGTTGCATACGCTGCTTCGCTATCAGTCGAAAGATTCTGATGAAATGGCGCTCAGAGCTGACTTATATAGCAGTCGACCCCACCCCTTTTGGCAGGCTGAAGCGCCATTTGTTTGTGCAGCTACATGAACGTGAACAAATCAGGTTTCAGTGCCTAGGCTACGGCTTCAGGCTACATGAGCAAAATTATCTCAAAAACTCTGTAGTTGCTGAAGCCAGGCAGTTCCCTCCCTCTGTAATTCTGGCTAAGATTCTTCGAACTGTCAACTTGTTGGGAGCAAGCAGGATTTTTTGCATGTAAAAATGTATTTCTTAAAAAAGCTGAACAGGGTTCAAAGAGTGCTGATGTACAATCCAACAGCAATTTGACTGTTTGTATCTGCTTTGACTTGCTTTATTATCAGAGCAAAAGAAGACAAAGTAATTAGTGACACTGTGTCTATTAGTATATAGTATATTAACTTCTTGTTTATTAAACAATATCATTTCACAGTTGTGCTGCTATAAGGCTGCACGCGCATCTACGACTGTCACATCAGTCAAAAGATTCTGATGAAATGGTGCTCAGAGCCAACTTATATAGCAGTTGGCCCCACCCCTTTTGGCGGCCTGAAGTGTCATTTGTTCATGCAGCTACACGAACGTGAACAAATCAGGCTTCAGTATTCAGAGTAAACAGGAGATTCCCCATAGCATCCCTTGACACAATGCTCATTCCCTTATCTCAGGGAACCGAGGTTACGTGTTCTGCAACCGAATTGACTCCCGAAAAATGCAGCTAGTGACAACAACATTTTTTAGAAATTCTATGCAGTGTGTACGGAATCAAACTGAACAACTAGTTAATGATGTATTTAAATGCATATCAGAGTTATCTTTTCTGTATGTGCGGTGCAAGAAATCACAGGGTACACTTTGACTCGCTAGTGCTGCCAGATCTTTCTAGAAATAAACAAAACAACAGCAACAACAAACAAGAGCAAACTCAAAATAAACTCAAATCCAAATGTGTTATCTTGGAAATAAGCCACATACCAAAATATAGCGGCCTGCACTTGCCTACTTTATCGCTTTATAAGCCGAGCCCAAAACAATAAGTCCAAAGACACAACTTAATAAGTGATGCTTATAATAAGTGGGCATGGCAACCCTTCAAGAGCACGCTCTGCAGAGCAACCTTCCAAACATGAACAAAACGTTGTAATATTGCTGTAATATTACTTTAATCAAAAAAGCGGATATCAAGTGCATGAGACAGCAAAATGTTGATATGGTTACAACGATGTCAATCATCGCAGTTTTGAGAGTGAGTTCGGTTCCGTACACACATTCAACTGTATTTTAGGGGATTCACTGGTAACACTTTATTTCGATAGTCCACTTTAGACATTCTATTAACAGTAAGTAACTTTGCAACTACATGTCAACTAGCAGTTAGTAGAGTATTAGTAGACTGTCTGCTTAATATCTTCTAACACTTTCTTTGTCAACTTATTCTACTAACCTTAAACCTACCCTAACAGTCTACTCTGAGAGTTAGTAGACATGTAGTTGCAAATTAATGAGAATTAGTTGACATGTAGTTGATATGTAGTTACAAAGTTACTTATAGTTAATAGAATGTCTAAAGTGGACTATCGAAATAAAGTGTAACCGATTCACTTCCATATTTAAATGCGGTTGTCACTCCTTAAACTTTACAGTGTGCACATGGCCTTTGTCACAAATATGGAGCAATATTTACCATAGTGGTATTTAGAAGAACAGGGTAGTTTCGGAAACATTGGTGAGACACGTCAGTGAATTGCTTGAGAATGATGTCTTCAAAAGTAAAACAAAAAGACAAACAGCCACAAATATTTTAGGCTTGATGATTCAGATATGATACTACAACAACATTCTAAGTGTACAGTAATCCTTTGATTTTAGGTTCTAGTTGAACATAAAGATGTGTGACAGTACCTTTTATGGAATTGAGTGATTTGATGGCTGGCTCTTTAAGTTTAGCCACACGGTCCTGCAAAATCATCTCAAAAACTCTGTAGTTGCTGAAGCCGAGCAGTTCCCTTCCTCTGTAATTCTGGCTAAGCTCCTTCAAACTGTCAACTTGTTGGGAGAAAGGGATTTTTTTTCATATAAAAATGAAAATAAAATTCTTATAAAAGCTGAACAAGGTTCAAAGGGTGCTGATGTTCAATCCAACAGCACTTTTCACTGTTTGTATCTGCTTTGACTTTATTGTCAGAGCAAAAAATTTGTGACACCGAGTCTAAAATGTAAGTTACTCAATATTAACTTGTTTATTAAACAATATAATTTGGCAATTGTGCTGTTGGTCTGAATATCAGCAAGTATTAAATTTGAAAATGTACTGACAGGACGTCTTTGTGTCATTAAGACCATCATTCCACTTCTTGTATTCAGTCCGAAGCTGGACAAACAAATTGTCCTTAATGATCAGCTCTCCAAATGATAAGGACTTGATTTTATCATTGAATTTTGTTAATATCTGTGAGAAAGAAATAATAATATTTGTTACGTGAGCATGTTTTAAATTATATTAGCATTGTACCTCTGAAGAGGTAAAGGAGGCAATGTTAACTTGGAAAAAAAAAAGATATAAAATCTGAATTGACAACACAGAGATAATACCATAAGTTTTATGGTTACAGATGACATCTACAGCGGAGGCACCATGTCTGACGTGACAGTGTTTGGTCTTATAATTCTCAATTGTTTTACATTTTACAAATGTGCAGTGCTAGGGGACGTTATAGCACTTTTTTTATTCACTCTTAAACCATCAACACAGTATGAATACAGCTGTTCATACCAAAGGTATCCCAAATGTCTTTATATGAATGATTTATTCAAATAAAGATATTTGGGTTACCTTTGCAATGTCTTCAGAACGTTTTGAGACATTTAAACATTGTGCTTACAACATACAGGCCAATTAAATTAAGAAAATGAATTTTTAAAAAATCATTAGCATACCAACGCATTGCCTAATTTCCTGCAAATTTGGCAATCATTTCAGGATTTTTTTTTTGTTTTGTTTTGTTTTTTAAGTAGGGTTTTTCATAAATTTCAAATTGGTGTGGATTTCATTCTTTTTGAGAAACTTTGTTATTGATTTGACAATTTCACAATACTAAATCATTTAGAGGAAAATGTCATTTTCATATTTTCATCTGATGTTTCTATGGTTAGTAGCATAAACATAACTTATCTAATGGTCACACTTTAATTTGGGGTCCAATTCTCACTATTAACTATGACTTTTGCCTCAATAATCTAAATTGCTGCTTGTTAATAGTTAATAAGGTGGTTGTTAAGTTTAGGTATGGGGTGGATTAACCAATATGCTAGTAATATGCATGCTAGTTAGCAGTGAGAATTGGTCCTAAACTAAAGTGTCACCTACCTAATTGTGTCACTTCCCTGTGGATTCAGCCCTAATAATAATTCTGAGAAGCATGAAGATAGCTTGAGTTGATCAAATTCTTACTTTAATGAGGAATTGTTTGGCTCCCTTCAGGTCCTGTGGTGGTCCAGCTTCACACTCCTTCAGCTCATTCCTCACATCCCACAACTGCTTTTTTATCTGCTCGTCAAGCTTTGGCAGTGATTTCTGACAGTGATGAATATAAAACAGATGTAATAAACCCAATAGATGCACAGTGGATATTGTAAGCAGCATTGGGGGTAATGCATTACAAGTAACGCGAATTACATTATCGGATTACTTTTTTTCAAGTAACTAGCATTACTTTTTAATTTACATTAATTTTTTATGTTACTTTTATATAAGTAACACCAGTCGTGGTGCAATCAGTGTAAACAGGTGTGTGCAATTCGTGCTGAGTGCAATCAGTAATGCATGATGGGAAATGTAGTCCGGGGTGATGTGCAACAGTGTGTAGTGCGAGAGTCAATGAAATGGAAAGTTCATGGACCGGATTCATGACAGTTTCCCCATGTATTGACTGACAGCTCTCATGTCCCCATAATGAAATAAATCAGAAGTAAGTGCAGAGGTGTTGTGTGCGCTGTGTGAACATGATCTTACTGTAGTTCTAGACTAAATGTCATGCATTTACTGAAAAAAAAAACAGATTCAGCATTCCTCAAAATCAACAAAAAAAAAAACTGTTAAATGCAGACTCAGAATATGACACAAAAATACTTTATGTATTGAATCCCATTTTATTAACCAGTGTCTTTGCTGCTGGCCTTCAATAATCCAGTTCAACCATATTAATAAACAAAAATGACTTTAGATAAACATAACATTTTGGTTTCCTTTGTTTTTTGTTTTGTTTGTTTGTTTGTTTGTTTGTTTGTTTTGTTTGTTTGTTTGTGTGATTGAGAAGAAAGTGTCAAACTTTTTTTTAGTGAGTAACACAATATTGTAATGCATTACTTTTAAAAGTATCTTTCCTGGACACTTGTTATAAGAGAAAAATATGAATATGAGCATGAATAGGCTCAAAACTAGTGAGCCACCTAACTGTTTTGGCTTTTTGACATTCTTCAGACTGCAGTGGTGTGAGATCATAGTCTCTCAATACATTTGATATTTATGCTGCTAAAAAACAATGTGAATAGGCATTTAGAAACTTACCTTAATATGACTGACGAGATCTTGAGTGAGTTTGATGGCAAGACATTTAACAGTCGCTTTATTCTCATCCAAGAGGGGTCTGTAGAAAAAAACAGAAGGAACACTTTGTAAAGTGGCGTTGATATGAAGAGAATATAAGTGAATCTGATTAAAAAATACATTTTTTAAATTTTAGATTTTATTATGATATAGTTGGATATATGCAGCATTTAATGTCGGCCCGCAGCCCTCAGTCAAGTTTGATTTTTGGCCTTTCATAGCGACGTTACACGTCAACGACTAAAATGGAAACTAAGGGAAGCTAAGGAGAAAAGAGCATAAGGATACAAAAAATGAAAATATAAGCAGAAAATGTCTGAAAACAGAAATATAACCAAGGAAAACATGATTTTTTTTTTTTTTTTGTGCAAGTCGGATAATTTAGCATTAATTTTTCTGTTTTTTGCAATACGACTTTAAATGTGATTGAAGTTTTGATTCATGCTTATTATTTTTAAAAATTGCATTTTATTGCATGCCTGTGCACATATGCTTATAGACAAAACGTAATACGCATGCGCATGACGTCATAATTTTCACAAAATTGGTTTTCGTAGTTTACACGGCGACAATAATGGTATCATTTGGTATCATTAATGGTATCATAAAAACTTGCACTTTGAAACCTATTTTCAAAAGTTTGCATGCTGTTGTTGTGTAAATGATTGGACAAACACAAGGTACATAGCAAAGATGGTGACGTACATAACACTGGATAGTCTTCATGACATGAAGTCCAATACATGCAAAAGTTCATCATTATTTGTCATCAGCTTTTATACAATATGTCGGGCGCCTTGTGTGAGAAAAACCTTCAGATTATACACAACTCAATTCAGTCTCTTCTTTGTAAGTAACCAAAATCACACATGAAAACACGCAATAAAAACGAGACGCGTGTGTCTGCAGGGCACAGTTGCTTTCTCAGAATGTATGGAGTGACAGACAACCAGTTGTCAAGTCTGGTTCTGTTAACACAGCAGGGCTTCAAAAATGCGTTTGTGTGAAAGTAGTCACTGCTGGTCACTACTGATTACATGTAATCTGGATTACGTAATCAGATTACAAAAATTAAGTACTTGTTATTAGATTGTATTACATTTTAAATTACTCGTAATCACAGTTACTTTTTTTATTGATTACATATTATTCTACAAATAATTCAAATTAAATTATTTGTAATTTATTGATTCTCACTAATTCTTCTTTTTCATTGTTTCACGTTTCCATTCTAAAATAGCCTACCGCTTATAGGCTATACATTAAGAAAGTCTTCCAGTTTTGTGGACATTCACACAAAGAACAGTCACTAGTCAGGTGGATGTAATTACACAGACCATAGGTTTCTTTTTTTTGGAAATGCACCCCTGGTCGGAGGCTTATGTAAATATTTTGTTTATAGGACAAGTATATAAATGCACAAGTATTTAGTAGTGCATACTGCATAAGCTGAAATGTCAACAAAAGTCAAATTATATTTTCTTTAGATCGTAACCTGAAAAAGTCATGATTTTGGAAGAAATCTCTCTCAATTTGTGTCGCCTCCACCAGAGGAATTTTCTCATCGATCTGTTGTTGTCCTCTACACTTCACCATGACGTAACCTTTGCGGAGCGGAATCACTTTGTTCTGGACAACGGCCAGAATATTCTTCTCGGTTCCCCTGTCTATGAGGTCTGGCTTGGTCAAAATGGCTGTGTGAATGAAAAACAGTTATTCTCTAAAATGTGCATTTGCTGACAAAGTGCTGAAAGATATTAGATATTGTGCAGATGATCATCTTCAATACCAAGAGTTCTTATGCCCTCAGGATCAACTTCTTGTGCCATTCTCAATGCTTCAGTTGTTGCAATGTCTGTGTTACATGGGACCACTACCATGTTTATAGTCTCTTGCTTCTCAATAAATTTCATGATCAGACGTTTGATCTATAAGACATGAAGTTTTAAAACTGGATATATATGTTACTGAATCTGGAGTGCAAAATCAGATTATAATGCCTACCTGGTTTCCAATATCTTGTGGTTGTCCTTGCACTGGGACTCGAGCGATTCCAGGTAGATCGATCAGTGTGAGGTCACACACATCTGCTGACCTGACCTCTAAAGTGATGAGGTCATCACAGATTTTCACCCCTTTTCCAGCTAACTCATTCTGGGCTGTAAAACACACACTGCATGATTAACCATGTGTTTCTCAACATGAATCGCATTAGTCAAGTTTATATACTCTCGTATTTGCACTGCGCTCATACATCAGAGCTCGCTGCTCGATGGCCTGGTGCTCGAGATGATAGATCTGTCAATGATACTCAACATGAATATTAAAATTTATACTGAAGTCCTTTAAGGCCATTTTTACTACAGCTGGTAGATAACAGTTCTCAATCGCACCATTATTTTACGACCCAAGGATTCTAATCAGGGGTGTCACTGAGCCTCAAGATATTGGAGGTGCCACTAACAAAAAGGGACAAGCCCGAGGAGGGTCCTAAAGCAATAACCTGTGCAATGGGCCCAGATTCCCTGACAATGCACCTGATTTTAAAGCTGCAGTCCGTGAGTTTTAGCTCTTTGTTGCCATCTCTGTTTGAAACCTGCAATTGCAGTTATTTGCGGAATTATCTTCATTGCGTGGGTTGTGCACCGGCATGGCTCCAGCGCGGATGAATCTAATGTTTTGAGGAGTATGTGTGGCTGTCAGTCACCGCACCGGTGTGGATATTGTCCTTAGGAATCACAGATTCTAGCCTACGTCTTGGAAGTATGACCCAAAAAAGGAATTTTCACCGGAAAATGTCATCTGAACAAGTAACAAGTCTGCCACTTTTGTTCTGACCAACTGAGGAAAAAAAGCAATACAATACCTCGCACTACCAATGGTGATTAAATCTATTGATCACTTAACTCATATTACATAAAACCGTGCTAATAGCCTCGTGGGCAGCACACTGACACATTATAACCATTGCGCTTCAGGCGTCCCGAGTTCGAGTCTCGGCTCGTGGGCCTTTCCCAATCCCGTCCCCTTCTCTCTCTCCCACTTTGCTTCCTGTCTCCTATACTGTCCTATCCTAATAAAACGGCAAAAATAAATCTTAAAAAAAAAATACAGAAACTCGTGTTATTAGTGACACCGCTGGCCAATAGGTATAACTTATAAGAGGCTTCTTTTACTTTGTTAAAGAACATCCAGACGCTGCTGAGAGCGAGAGAGAGTTCAGATGAATATGTAAGTATGTGCCGCGCAATTTCCTCTCAATGACAAAATAAACACACAACAAACATGACAGCGATGAGAAAACAGCAGTTAAGAAAGCATCTGATCATAGAGATATGGATATGTTTGCGCCAGCTCCTAACAGATGAGGTAATTAAAATGACACTGTTGTGATAGTGTGATTATAAAGTATATTTGAGACTGTAGACTATATAGACCCAGACATGTCAGACTATAGTTGAATGAATCTGTTTCTTTGCTAATTTGCTAATAGCTCTTTTGGCATTATCCTGAACATTGTATAAGAAAGGCTGTCTTGAGAGTGTGAGCAAATATTACTTTTTTTTTTTTTCCAGGCAAAAAATGTCCCGAGTCCTTCGCATAAAATACAGTCTATAGGTTTTCATCGACAACTCATTTTTTTTGAAAGTTTTATTACAAGCTGTTCACACACTGGCAATGAGAAAGTGATTAATGCATGAACATTTTTACATTTAGCCCCTTTAATAATATTTACATTTATATTTATTCATTTAGCTGATGCTTTTATCCAAAGCAACTTCCAAAAGTGGAATATAACAAGCCCTTGATTAACATTCATGCCATTCATGACCAGTGTCGGGGAAAGTTACTTTTAAAAGTAATGCATTACAATATTGCGTTACTCCACAAAAAAGTAACTAATTACATTACTTAGTTACTTTTTATGGAAAGTAATGCGTTACGTTACTTTTGCGTTACTTTTTAAATCTGGATCGGAGGTCAGAAGCAAAGACATTGGTTAATAGAATGGGATTAAATACATAAAGGATATTTGTGTTGTTTAACATTTAATTATTGCAGGTTTGCGTCATATTCTGAGTTGCATTATTTTTATTCATTTTGAGCAATACTGAATCTGTGGGGTTTTTTTTTTTTTGTGAGTGAGATGAATTAATGCATATTCATATTTATTTTAGAGCTTCAGTAACACCTTCTGATTTCTCTCAACATGGGGACAGGAGAGCTGTCAATCAATAAATTGGGAAAAAAAGTAACTTGCGTTACTTATTTGAAAAAGTAACTCAGATATTCTCTTGTAAATTAAAAAGTAATGCGTTACTTTACTAGTTACTTGAAAAAAGTAATCTGATTACGTAACTCGCGTTACTTGTAATGCGTTACCCCCAACACTGTTCATGACATTTAAAAGTTTTATGCTTTAAAATATCTAAAATAGCTTTTATGCTTTTTAAATGCTTTTTAATGCTTAAATGCTTTTCTATGCTTTTAAAGCAACAAAAGAGTCTGGGCATGGCCCATGTTTTGTAACCAGTCAGAATGAACTGGTTTCTCCAGTTATCCCGTTTATCCAGCAAAGGGTGAGGCTTCTGTGTGCAGTTTAAGGGATGATATGCGGTCAAATTCCGCACATGACTTTATGAATGGTTACAATAAAAAGAAAATACTAAGGACATAAACTGTCATTAAACCATTAGTTGTCAACACTTATTATTCTGCTGGAAGATATATTTACTAATATAACAGATCATTGCGCATGCAATAAAAACAATGATTCTTCATGGTAAACAAAGCTGTTATTATATTGTGAAATGTATTTACTGATTGTCAATTTGCATGTTATGTATCAATAACACTGAAAGGACAATAGATTTTAAGAGTTTTACTAACCTTCTTCAACATGTTTTTCAACTAATGAAGGATCCCCGAATTCAATTATCTTCTCCTCATACGACAAGCGTGGCCTTTTGCTCGCTGAACTTGCCAGTTGGTTATAAACTTGAAAAGGGGTTGTAACATGGTTTAAATTTAGTCGTAGGTGTAAAAATTTAGAACCAGTTTGGGAGATTGCAAGTTTTTTCACTAACCTGCTTCAGCAGTTTTTTCAATTTTCTTTTTATGGTAAGACAGAACAGCTTTCCAGCTGACTCCACCTGTTACGTTCCTCAGCCTCAGCTCTAGTGGACATCTAGTGACAATTCCTATCAACAATCAGCAGAAAAACAGATGTTGAAAAAATATTCTTTGCATAACACTCTATTACACACACACACACATGCATATATAAATATCCAATTCACCGCTTCCTCTTGGCAACGCAATTCCAGACAGTGCTTCCAGCACAGAGCTTTTCCCAGAACTCTGGTCTCCGATCACTACGATAGTCGGTAACGCCAAGTCCTTCTGAATGCCAACGGAGCGCAGAGTGTCAATCAGGTCAATGTATGGACGAATGCTCTCCTCTAAATGATGGTGAACCTCGCCCTTCATTCCCTGACTAAAAAAAAATAAAAATTGGTAACACTTTATTTTAACGTTCTATTATAATAACAATAAATTATGCATAATTACATGCAAGTAAATCAAAGCCAAACCCTAATCCTAACTCTAACCATAGAGTAAGTACATATAGTTATTACTCAGTACTTAAATGCATAATTACACTGTAAGACACCTTAAAATAAAGGGTAACCAAAAAATGTACATTTTGTCATTTTGTGTCACCGTATGTCCTTTAATACAGACATATCGCTTTTTTTTTATAATTTGTATCATTGATAATTGGACTAAATGTACTATTTACATAAAGTTGCCTTGTACTTAAATGTACATTGCTTTATTATTATCTAGAGCACATAACACGTTAACTAGGTCTGTAAATTCATATAAAAATATTTATCTCCAATTGATGAATTCAAAATTAGATTAGTAATAAGCAAAATAAAATGCATACTAGCCTTTCTTTTAAAGAATTATCAGTGTCTTCAACATTATCTTGAACTCTGCTTCGAGCTGAAGAAGAAGAGGATGAAGAGAAAAAATAACTCATGCTTAAATTGGCCATTTTCTGAGGGGGAAAAACTGAAGAGAAAAAAATGAAAAGACAAAAATAAATTAGATAAATGTCCTTCTTTTTAGATGCCTCCTATAAACGTTATACTTGACCCAAACACAGTGTTTGTGTAGATGCTGAAGAGAAATCACAAATAATATGTGCGTCAGACTCAATTTATAGTGCATCACACCCATAAGACTGAACACGTCAGACATTTTCATAATTCTTTAACTCTTTCCCCGCCATTGACGAGCTATCTCGTCTTTTAAGAAAAAAACGCTTCCCTGCCAAAGACATTACAGATATTATCCAGATTTTTTATAAAAATTAGATTTTCTCACCTTTTTGCTCAAAATTATGCATTTTTATGAAACCTACCTATATTCAAGTGTTGATAAAAAAAAGAATGCTTTAAGCTAGAATAAAACGGATTGTTTGCTGTTGTTGTTTAAAAGTAGAGGCTCTGATCTTTATTTTGGTGTATTGCATATTCAAATATTCATACAGAAAAATATACTGGAGGCCATCAAAGTTTAGTGAAAATCATCCAAATCGCTGGCGGTGGCTGGCAACTTGTCAACTTCCTGAGAAAACCTATTAAAAAAAAATAATTTTTTTTTGCATATAGGAATTTGCATACATTTGTGTGTATATGGGTGTGCCTATACCTCCAAGACAGAATTGTAAAAATGTTTTGCATGAAAAGTGTCTCCTTCAGCGGACTGAAGTGAAACTAGTCACGCACAGGAGCGTCACTAGGGATTCTGGGCCCTTTGTAAAGGTCATTGCATCGCGCACCTCTGAAATCACATTTGTGTGCACTATACAGCGTTGGGGAAAGTTACTTTTAAAAGTAATGCATTACAATATTGCGTTACTTCCTAAGAAAGTAACTAATTACGGTACTTAGTTACTTTTTTTTGTTACGTTACTTTTGCGTTACTTTTTAAATCTGGACAGGGCTTGCTTGTTTGCTTTTAATATAAAAAGTTCTATTTTTGGCAAATATAAAAGCCCTTTCACACCAAAAGCCTCAGGCTGAAGGAAATGTAAATTCACGTCTGTACAGTAGAACACAGAAGAAGAAATTTCAACACTCTTCAGCAATAAAAAAAGAAGAAGAAATGTTAGCTTTATCTTGTGTAATTTTTGCTTATTAGTATTAGGTTGAATTGGATCACTGAAGGTCAGCAGCAAATTGGTTAATAAAATGGAAAAAGGATATTTGTATTATTTAACATATTTAATTATTGCAGCTTAGAGTCATATTCTGAGTTGCGTTTAACTGTTTTTATTAATTTTGAGGAAAACTAAATCTGATTTTTTTTATTTTTTGTGAATGAGTGAGATGAATTATGTTCACGTTTATTCTAGAACTAAAGTAACATCTTACTCCCGATTTCTCTCAATAAGGGGACAGGAGAGCTTTCAATCAATAAATGGGGAAAAAAAAGTAACTGGCGTTACTTATTTGAATAAGTAACTCAGATATTTTCTTGTAAATTAAAAAGCAATGCGTTACTTTACTAGTTACTTGAAAAAAAAGTAATCTGATTACGTAACTCACGTTACTTGTAATGCGTTACCCCCAACACTGGCACTACATATATATATTAAAACTAATATAAATATCCTACAAGGCCATTTTTACTGCAGTATTCAATCATAGCATGGCACCATTATTCAACAGTGTATGATCAGTCATCTGTGCCGTTCCACATCACTGTTAATTGTTGTTTGAGTCGGTATCCTGTAAATCTGATGTATCTCTCACAATTTCATCGTACCTCACTGTATTTGTATCATTTTATGGGTTAAGTGGGCAGGCTTGTGGGTTAGCGCGACCTCACAAAATATGCTACTCATGGTGGCGGCACATCCTGGTATTTCTTGCTCGACAAGGTGTGATACGAGATGTTTGTCCCTGCATCACGCAATGTGCTACCCATGTTGCAATTTTTAAACATGACAGTTTCAACTACTGCGAGACAGATTTCAGCTGGCAATTCGTTCTCAGAGCTGAGTTCTGATTTACTTCACTTGACAAAATTCATTAAAAAAGAGCTTCTGTATCCACTCTGAATGGCCGTTCTGTAAATTTGACTTCTCTGGGGCTTTTTACTGAACTTCTCTGTGTTTGTGCATCCCAGACAGACAGGTTTCACTTAAACAGCGTTTCCGAGAAATCAAATGAGGTTGAAATCCTGTGTCAGACTGGATTTATGGTTTATCATACAGAACTATTATTTCATCGGTTGCACTTTATTTTAAAGTATGTGTACTTACAGTGTACTTACCTAAGAAAGTACTGCAATATAAGGTAACTACATGGGGTAGGGTTAGTACCTAGTTATAATAATTACTTTAATAAGTACATAGTATGTACATGAGGAACAGGTCTGTAAAATAAAGTGCTAACATTTCATCCACCCATTTGTCTATCCAGATATTATACATACATAGATGTACATACACTACTGGTCAAACGTTTTAAATAATTAGGTATTTTTTATGTTTTTTAAGTGAGAAGCCTCTTAAGAAATCTTAATTATTCCAAAGTTTTGACCTTTATTTTTGGATCAAAGTGCAAAAATGGTACCTTTAGTGGTATAACATCTTGCCACTGGGACAGTGCCCTCAAAGGGACACCTTTGTACCTCCTTTACCCCTAAAGGGTTCATAATAGCACCTTAGAGTAGTAATATGTACCCTTAACTTCATAATGTGGTATTATTATGAAACCTTTAGGGATAAAGGAGTAAAGAAGGTACTGCATCAGTGACAAGCTGTTTTTTATAATCAGTGCTGGGTAGATTACTTACAAATTGTAGTATGTTACTGATTCCAAATTACATGACAAAAATTATAGTTAGTAACGTAATCCATTACATTACACATTTTAGATAATATTATCAGACTATATTCTGATTACTTTTGACCTAACTCCTTTATCACATTGATTTAAATAAGATAATCTTGTGTCATATTGATATAAAAATACAAAGATAAAGAAAATATATTCCATTCGTTGTGATTGTGAACAACATGAAGTGCATTAAAGATTACATCATCACATCAGGGTTTCCCAAACTGGGCTTTTATGAGTTTAATGAACAGCTAATAATTCATTAAATCACAAAAAAACATTTTTAAAAAATTATTTGTTTACCTGCACCTCCGAGCAACACTGCCCTGTTTCATTCCTGAATGAATCAGCAGTTTGAACAAATCAAATGAATGAATGACTCAATGACCTAGACTGCATCCAATATCGCATACTCTCATAAGTAGATACTTATTTTGAATAAGTAATTACTCTGCATTATCAAAAAGAGTAAATTCTATATAGTATGAATGTGTGTAGTATGAATGTAATCTGGACGTACTACATTTGCCATGTTGTCATGGTCACGTGACCTGCATAAATCCTCTCCCGTGGCCTCATGGGATAGTAAAGTATCCATCTGATGCACACTTCAGTATCACGCCGGAAGTAGTAGGTCATATGAATACCTTTTTTTGTGAGTACTGTGAATTCAGACACACTTTTGTCACATACTGTTTTTCGCCAAATATATAGTAGGGAAGTATGCAATTTCAGATGCAGCCCACGGCCTACTCATTAAGACATTTAGTTTCTTTATTTCATATTTACATTTTAATAAAACACCCATTAAAGCAATAATTCATTGATTATTCTCCCTCATGTCATATCAAACGTGTATGACTTTTTTATTTTGTGGAACATGAAGCTGTTTTGAAGAGCGTTGGTAACGAAACCGTTTCAGAGGAAAGAAAGTCTTTCAGGTATGAAACGCCATGAGGATGAATAATTAATTATTGACAGAATTTCTCATTTTTGGGTGACCAATGCCTTTAATACCCATTTATCTCATGGCATTATTTATGCAATTTTAATTGCAGTGTAAATGCATCCATGCCACATCTGAGCTGCAATAAACTGCCTGTTAATATGTCTAAATATCAATTCAGATGCAGCTTCTGAAAAAAAAAATCTAAATACTTCTCTACTCAGGGAACCATGGTTACATAAGTAACCTGAGACGATTTCTGACATGACACGATACTCCAGTTTAATCTGCCAAGAAATGTTAAGCAAGGGGTAAATGAAAACACTCCAAATAACAGAGAAATCCCCTACACACAGAGTGGCTCAGCACTGAGTCCCGGCTGGAACTCATGTACGTTCTCGAGGCGTCTGATAGTGTCTGTGTTTGCAGACTCGAGGCACTGCGGCTAGAGCCGAGCTCAAGATCAGTCCACTTCAGTCAGGCCACACGGCCGTCTGAACTCCTGACCTCTCTCATGGATCCACTTGTTTGAAACTGCCAAACGAGAGGACAAGACAGGAACGGACATTCGATGCTTTTAAAACAACCTACTTCTTATGCCATGTTCATTTCAACAAAAGTAG